GTGTACAAGTTCTGGGGATGCAAAGAAAGGCAAAAGGCAGTCCCTACTCTCAAGGAGTTCACAGTCAATGGCAAGTCCAATAAGTGCATTACAAAATTTCCTGGAAAAGTCATTCTGGTGTTGGTTACTTGAGATATAGACGACCCTCTGCCTTTTTGTTTCTGAATTATCCCCACGTGTTTCATCAACCTACACTCTACCCAGCTGTTAACTCTGTTTTAACTGAGTTTTAATTGATGTGGAGACACTTTAATTGTTACTGAGCTGATTAAAGAGACTTGCTGCCTTGAACTTAGAAGATACCTCTATGCCAGCCCTGACCTAAGTAGATCAGAAATACTAAAAGTCCCACCTACTCAAAACCATCTCCACTATAGCCCCACCTGCCTAAACAATGTCTCTACCATTGCTACCACCTCTTCCTCCAATTGGAAATTCACTTGGATTAATCAGATCCTCTTTTTTAAAATGCAAAAATACCTAGAATACCTGGCAACTACTCAAACCTGAGCTAGCATAATGATAATTAAACTAGTCTAATAAAATAATCCATCTATATATACCTGACATCAGTAATAGTCTAGGAATTGGTTAGATGGGGAAACAATAGCAGTAATTTCAGGGCATGGGGCACTTTGAAAATATCTATAGTCATCCAGAGAGACACAGAGGTAGAAGGAGACATAGGCAGAGGCAGAGACAGACAGAGAGAGTTAGAGACAGACACAAAGAGAAATGCTTGAGGTGTGAGATGAGATGGAAATAAACATATAAATGAGATAGAGAAATATCCCTGGTCTCAGAATCAAAAGATTCTTGTTGAATTAATTAATTCGCATGAATGAACTAAGCTCCTTACCATCTGTGTGACCTTGGCTTCTCGGAGTCTCAGTTTCCTCATTGATAAAATAAAGAGTTGTACTAGAGAGAGTATCTAAGATTCTTTTCAACTACAACTCCTATGATGGGGAACAGATTGTGGAAAAAGCAAAGTACCACAAGAGGATATGGTGACCTGGGACCATTGAAGAGAAGGCAGAATGTGGGAATGCAGTTCATAAAAAGAAGGTTCTTGCAGAAAAAAACTTGGCTATCTTTTCATTTAACTTAAGTACTAAGTGGCAGTTGGTTTGTTACTGAAAATGATGCTCAAGTTGCCTTTAGCTCATCAGGGCAAAAAATCTCATGACTAATTTAGAAGGCTCAAAATATCACCATACCCAGTTTAGCCTAGCCTTTCCCTTCCCATCTTATCCAGCCTCTAGTTTCACTCCCCAACTCAATGGATACATGACCAATTCCCTCCACTCTTCTAAAGTTAATACATAAAAGGAACAAAATTACATACATAAACTCCTACACTAAAGTAGGTCAGATTACCACTTCTTTATGCCCCTTCTCCTGCTTGGCTCCTCCCACATCCTCACTCTCATTCTCTTTATTACAGACAAAACCCTTGTGGATATCCCTCTCCACCTAGAGACTCCTACCTTTAATCTGGAGAAGGCTATATTAGACAAGTTTTCAGATACAGCATCATCTTATTTTAAACAGTGTTAACTCATGGTAGCCAAGTCATAGCAGACTCTCAAAGTTGATAAAGTCCCCAAAATTTTAGCAGTGGAATTAATTATACCATCCCTGTATTTATTCTTACCTATGCCAATATCAGTATCAGACACCATTCCTCTGATTTTATAAAATAGAGTAATTAAATACATATGCACATAGTTTTGCAACCACAGCACATTCTTTTATTGAGAATCCACTATCCAGTTTAACTGGATTAATTTGTCAAGAAAATGTTCACAAAAATCCTTCTGGAATACCAGAAGAAAGAAGATTGAATATTTACTTTAAGTACCTTCCTGATAACTGTGGCTACAAGTATCAACAGCTATTAAAGCTTTTCTGGTGTCTCAATAAACTCCAATGTGTAACACTGGAAAAGTCAAGTGAACTAGTCTTGAGTTAATAATAGTCATTACTAAATACTTCCTTAGAACACGGTAAATTTTTATTTCATTTTTCTTCTAAATTCCATTTCCAATTATACATGTGTTGAAAGGAGGGGTGCCAAAGGCAATGCAATCACAGCAACTCCACCAAATGCATATGTTCTGGGCTGCTGCTGCTGAAATGAGTTAGAGATGTCTTAACTGTCTTTTGTTTAAAGACAACCAAGATGAAATATAGCAAAGTCTGAGATTATTGTTTCATTATAAAGTCTGTCCAAGTCAACAGCCATTCTTTTGCAGTCATTGTGGCTGTTTTGGAAAAAAAAAAAAGCAAATTTAAAATCTCTGAAAATACAAGACAGTATAGGCATTTTGGATGCTTACATATAAATATATTCATGTAGATGGGTGTGCAATTTAATACAAATATGGACAATATTTCTTACGACATCCAACAAAAACGTTCATTTTACTTTGGCTGAAAGGCCACAAAGTTTTCGTGTTTCTCTCCCCTTTTATATTTTTTAATGTGACTAGTTTATGGACTGAACTATCATACAAGCACATGACTGTCCTACAGGAAGCAGTAACTGAAAAGGAGTTTATACCCCTCTGATTACATGGCAATACACTTTGTATAATCAAGTGCAATGTGGATTGATGAAGTGAGAACTCTTATTACTACAATTTTGGCATACACTCACTTATCCCACAATATTTAAATGTCCAGTCAATTCAGTCCAATAATCAGCTCTACATGTTGGTAAGCAAACAGCTCTGACTAAACTGACCATATGTTCTGACAGTACTTAGATACAACCAAGGTCACTCCCTGTGGGGGAGTCACCAACATATGTTTAAATATATAGTTTCTCTGTGGCTGCTAGAATTTGACTTAACTCTCACTTATGCCCAACAGAAGTATAACAGCATTTACAACAGCATATACAAATACAAATAGATTAATAACATCAACACAAATTATTGAGCCCTATGAACATCCCAAGTTTGATTTCTCCATGGGAGAAACCCCAAAGCAAATGTACTTGAGAAGCCTGCTAAGACTGATGGTTTTTTTTTAATGCCCTGAAGTTTATAATCCAGCCCCAATGACAAGGTGTTAACAACACCAGTTAGTTTCCCTTTGTATTGAGAATACATATGACAATCTGAATATTGTAATGTTAAGAGCTATTACCTTGGTGAAAGACTGCAAAGTAGGAAGGTAGGGAGTGTATTTTGATAATTCAATTCAAAAATCTCCTTTGCCTGAGTTTTGAGCAGTAAGGGAGGCCTTTTTTTTTTAAATGGTGACTTGCAGAAAGTAGTTCAAAAGAATTTAGATCTTAACTAACATGTTATTGTGATGGACGGGGTAGGTTTTTGTTTTTTTTTTTTTTTACATAGATGGATTCTCTTATAGGTCTTTTATTTACTGAGATTACGGATTTTCCATCCTTCAATTTGTGGCCTATCTAGAAGGAGAAAAAATGAAACTTTCAGAGCTAAGCTGAGACCACAATCAAAGTATTAAAGCAGAGTTTGTAAAGATTTAAAATTTTAGAATATTCCAATTGTTACAACTGAGTGAGGTATCATAGCCAGGACCAGAGTTTCAGAATACTAGTTTAGACCACTTCTCAATATAATTTGCTGTACACAGTAATGACTTTGTAGAGTGCCATATTTTCACTCTCTAAGAGTTACACGAAGGGCTCTGTCTAGGATGGTCTCGAATAAAAACAAAATTATTTGTATCTTTTTTTTTCTTTTGCTGTCCCCAGTGGTGTCCTTTTCTAATAGACTTTGTTTTTGCTACATTTAAAATATAAAAGATGAGGAAGCAAATATTCAACAGTAACACTGATATTACAGAGTCAAGTGTTTCTGAACCTGGGGGTGACTTAGTGACCCTTAGTGACTTCATAGGCTAGTTAACAAGGGAATATCTGGTGAAATGAATGTTTGTGCAAATAATTATTTCATGCATTTTAAGAATTTTGTACAAGTCAAGGTTATACATTTCCCCTCCCTTTTCCCCTCCCCCCACTCCTTAACCAATAGGAGTTGTTGCTATTTCATCTCTCTTCTGCAAGTCGGTTTCACTGAATTGGACTAGAGATTAAAGACAAAGACAGCTGTCTAGTTAAGCAGGGTGAAGGAGGGATTTATCTAACACTAAAGGATTGCATTCATAAGTAAGATAGCAGCAGTTTGGGCTAAGTCACCCATCTTACTCTCCATTTACCTGGAGTTTAAATATGTAAAGTGACAGGTACATGAATTAGGAATAAAACTAAAGCAGTTTGCAGACTTTGGCACGAGCACACATAATACTTTGTTTGCTTTGTTAGTTGTGGCTTAACAATCGCTAAACAGGAATATAAAATTACATATCTGCAGAAAACAAACACCCAAGGAGCTCTGTCCTCTAGTCAAGTCTGACCATCCCCCAGCTAGTTTCAAGTATAAGGAAAACAATAGGGATTGTTCGCAGCAGAATTCCGCAACGCAGTTAACTCTTCAAGCTTTCTTCTCCATCAGAGACAAAATTAAGGTCCAGGAAACTAAATCCATACGCTCCTCTGACTGTGTTTAAATACTTAAAAGAGAGAGAGTTGAGAGAAGTAAACACTTGCCAGTTTCATTGGATTGGAGTAGGAGAGAGGAGTGATATCAAGCTTTTCCCCCCACTAGCACAGGAGGATAAACTTCTATTATAAGCACTGCCTGCAGGTAGGAGATAGGAGCTGGGCAAGTTTCCAGGTACTCGAGACTATAGACTGACAGTGACTCCATACAATGGTCTTTAATGGGTAAGTATCTCCCATTTAATTGCTTATTTAAAAAAAAAGTTACAGCTGGAAAGCAGCAGTGTCAATAGCAAGGCAGGAGGTTTGGGGAGCTGGGAGTGTGGGGAGCTGATAGATTCTTCTTGCTCTACCCTTTCTACGCACGGTTCTCCTTCCAGAGCCCCCTCTGGACTCTACTGGTTTCTCAGCACCGCTTTCTCTGGCCCAGGAGAGCCTCTCTCTGAGACAGCACCAGCATAAGAAGAGTCCACCTTACCTGTGGAATCAGACACAAGACAAGCACGTTCCCCAGAGGCGCCTTGGTGAACGCTCTGCCACTTCAAGATTCAGCTCGTGCGCCTGAACCGAATCAGTTTATGAAAAGCTTGTTTGAAGTCGTCATTGGACATGGTATAGATGATGGGGTTAATGAGGGAGTTGAGATATCCTAGCCAAGTAAAGAAGTCAAAGATGGCCAGGTGGAACCAGCAGGCGTCATCGCAGATAGGCAAAGCCAGGGAGATGATAAAGAAAGGCAGCCAACAGACGATGAAGGCTCCCAAAATTATCCCAAGCGTTTTGGTGGCTTTTCGCTCCCTAGCGGCCATGAGCTTCTTCTTTTCCAGGAAAGTATCAGAGACTTTCACCTTTACTTGGTTCACGTACACTGGGGACCCCGATTCACTGGATCCCTCGGGGGCTCGAGAGTTAATGGAAGTGGCAGAGGAAGAGGACCCCGGGGAGTCAGTGATCAGTTGGGCCCGGGTCAGACGTTTGCCCGTCCTGTTGGGCGTCTGTTTCAAAATCCGAGAACGAGCTTCCACATAGATACGGCCATAGAGGGCAATAAGCAGCAGTGTGGGGAAGTAGAAGGCGCCCACAGTGGAGTAGACGGTGTAAAGGATATGGTCTGTATTCACTAAGCAGTCTGCTACCTCCTCAGCCTTGGCCTGGCGCCAGAAGAGTGGGGGCATGGAGATGGACACGGAGAAGACCCACACCATGGCAATCATCCCCGCTGCTCGCTTGGGAGTCCTTTTAGCAGAATACTCCACCGCGTCTGTAATGGCCCAGTAACGGTCCAGAGCGATGGCACAGAGATGCAGGATGGAAGCTGTGCAACAGGTAATGTCCGAGGACAGCCAAAAATCGCAGACAATCTGTCCCAGCGTCCACCTACCGGTGACCGTGTACATGGTGCTGATGGGCATCACCAGGATAGACACAAGCAAGTCAGTCACTGCCAGGGAGGCGATCAGGTAGTTGGCAGGAGTGTGCAGCTTCCTAGTCCGAGAGACCGTGGCGATCACAAACGCATTGGAGAGCGTGGTGGCCAAGGTGATAAGTGCGAGGAATGTGGCCAGGACCACCTTCCAAGGGAGTGCAATCGAGTCCTGGTATGGCCCCGGAGGGGTACAGTTGGAATTCGAGAAGGTAGAATGATTAGTCTGCGGGGAGGTCAGGGAGCCGGAGGTCGGCTGGGAGCACTGACGGCTAGGCTGTTCCATTGTGCCGCTCGCCGTGCTTCGAGAGCAGGTGGCGCACAGCTTCTGATCATGGACTGACTATACAGCCTGCTAGCCAGGAGGGTGGGGACTGAAGTAGGGAGGTTGGGTCCGCGGGGTATCTTGTTGTGGGGAGGGATAAATGATCTCTCCCCGACAGCCAATCGTATCCAGGAGTTCCTCTGGCAGTGGGACAGCCCAGAAGCCCAGCTGCTGTGGGAGCGCGAAAGAGGTCACGGGTGCGGCAGGCAGCCCTGCCAAGTAGGGCGCGTCCCCAAATACACTGTCCCCATACCCTCGATCGCTGACCTCTCCTTACCCAATCCTTGAGAAGCAATTGAGCCCCTCTGGCTCTTTTGCCTCGCGTTCAACCCTAGAGACAGTCAAGAGTCTCCAGCCTTCAGCTCTTCTAGCCAGCAGCCTTGGAGCCCCTAGTCTTTGTGATCCTTGGAGAAGGCGTACTTCTACTTCGCTCGGAAGCTCCCAAATCTTTCAAGCGTGCGCTCGGGCGCTGGTTAGTCTGCTTGTTCTCTTTTCTTCTTTTTTTCCGCCGATCTTTTTTCCCCAAGAAGTGTTTCTTTACCCAAAGGCCCCAAGGACTCCCCACTCTGATCACTGGAGTTTCAAGTAACAATGATGGAGAAACAGAGGTGAAGACAGCATCCACCAGCCCGTACCTTCTGTCCTCCTCGTTCTCGCATGCTAGCTCCAGAAATCGGAGAGAAGCCCCGAGGCGAAGGCGAAGCCTTTGGCTCTGGATGGGGATATGCCCAAGAGGGAGGCTGCCTGAGTTGCTTCGCCCTGCCTTGCCCAGGTACCTCTCCACTTCCTTCTCGATTTCTCTTCACGCGGCCGCGACAGGAGCCACTTGCCCCGCTGAGAAACTGCAGCTGGTGGAAGGTGAAGGGGGCCGGGGCCGGGGCCCGGGCTCCTGCTCCACGGTTGACTCCGCCCTGCGGGCACTGCTCCGTGCCATCCCACCAATCCTCTCACCAGGTCAGGGAGACCTGGAGCTGCGGTGTTAGTACTTGTGCTGGTGCAGGTGCCTGCAAGAGCAAGTGAAGAGAGATAAAGTATAGTGTGAGAACAGCAGCGCTGTAGGCCCTCTTTATATAGAGTCTTGCGCTAGCCAGCCCAAGCCCTAGCCTTGCAACTCGTGCGGCTGCGGCCGGCTAGAGTGCGGACTCAGGGTCCCCGCCCCCAGCGCCCTCTTTTTTTTCTCCTCTCCTTCCCTCTCTTGTCTCCCCAGGAGGCTCCCGCAGGGTCCTAATGCCGAACAAAAATCATTCCCCACCCACTTCCACCTAGAGCCTATATCCTAACCCTGGATGCAACCGCAGCATTCCTGGTTTTAGTGCAGGCCCCCCTCCCCACCCCTTAATATTTTCTGGTCTCTTAGACTCACGCCCGCCTCACCGCAGGCTCCATACAGCTCGAATAACGCGCTCCTGCTTTACTCCCGCTCTCCCTAGATCCTCCCTGCAGACTGTGCCTAGGTATTCCGAAACCTCTGTAGGACCAAATGTCTAGCCCACCCCAAGATGCAGTGTACCTCCCAACCCTGCAGCCCCACCCTAGATGCGAAGCAAACGATGGGAACAGGGATGGCGAAGAGGCAAGTGGGGAGAGAGTGGGGAGGGATGACCTGAGAATTGAATTCAATATATGAAATTTCCTAATTAAGTGAAATTTAATTGGGTGTGAGGAAATGATTAAGCCATGCACAATTGTTTGTTCAATAAAGACTACCCACCTCATTAGATCTTACATAATAACGTGCACCTTTCATTCATACACAAAGACCCGTTTAACAATAAAGCAAAATTAGTCTTTATTGAACAGGACGGTCAATCCTTCCTGTAATTAAATAAACCCTTGCTTCTTTCTCAAGTTTCCTCAGCATTTCTTTTAGGATATTTTAAAACAATGCACGGAGACTATAAGCATACTTTCTGACGGAGCCTAGAGTTAAGATAAAGGATACCGTGAATCAATTTGCATAAAAAAGCATAGCGTCTGTCACTTGCTGCTTCTTCGTCATATTTTATCATCCAAAGCATTTATTAAGTACTTAGACTGAAGTGAAGGTGGAGAAGTGGGGGAGAAAGATTTGGTATAAGTATAATTAGACTTAAAAACTTAAGATCTACTATCAAGGACACTGGCTTAGAATAAAGGCATTAAACCACCCCCTAACGAATGGACAGGCTGCTTACATCATTTGGAGATCAGGTCAAGTCTATATATACATATATACATATGTGTGTGTGTATATATATGTATTATATTATATAGATACAGATAGATAAATAGATAAAAAAGATGTCAGGAATGGGGTCACAAGATCACTGCTCCCTCTACTCACTTTGAAACAAGACCTTTCTCCCTCACACCCACCACTCAGTCTCTCACCCTACCACACTGAGCACCTAGCTGGTAACTACTCATTATACATGACTTGTTTGGTCAGTTTCTACTGATTTGGGGGCAAAATCAGAAGACAGTACCTCTTCTAAAACAACAGCAGCTTTGCTCAGCTGAAGCCAAATTCTGAAGAGACAAAATTTGTTGGGAATCCCAGAGGTGGTGGCTTTACCTTTATTAGTCTTGGACTCCTGTGGAGGCTGAGAACCTCTCCTGGGTCCACCCTCCTAAAGGGTGAGAGGGCACAAAAGAGGAGAGGCCATCAATATCTAGGGAATGAGGTGTTGTCTGAGTTCAACTTCCATTGTTTCACTCTGTCAAGGTGAAAGAGGAGAAAAAGCACAAGCTTTATCTATGTCGAATGTGCCTTGGATGACATCTATTTGTGCTACACTATCCAGAAAGCAATGTAGGGCTGTGTATAATCTGGACAGTTGGTTCAGCCCTCCTCTTATGGATTGAGCTTGATATGCTGCAAGATTCTTACCCCCACCCCCACTTTTTCTCTTCTCTCTGTCTCTCTCTGTGTTTGTCTCTCTGTCTGTCTCAGTCTCTCTCATTATCCCTCTCCCTCTGCCCCCCCCCCCCACACACACAATGAGCACATCAGATTTTTCTCAGAGTTCACCGGAGAATCACATTTAATTGAAATACACACATCAGTTCCATACTTTAAAATTTTTAATATTAAAAAAGTACAAAATATAAATATACCACAAGTGTTCATACATAGCCTCCATGTTTATCTTATAAATCTCTCTTGATATAGATATGTGTGTATGCCTACCATCTTTATTTTATAAATCTAATATATGCCATCCTGTATATACATTTTTGCCCACCTCCATTTACTTTCATTAGAAATCCAGTTTGCCTACGTACATCCACACACTTGCTCCTCCTCATTTACTATCACATCGTCTCATTTGGCTATTTCTTTCCTTAAAGATTGCAGGGAGCCAGTGAGCCCCGAGCTCAACAAGTGGGTCCAAGGTGGGAGGGAGAGTGAATCTGGCAGAAGCGAGCCGGTAAAGGAGGAGGGCTAGCCTAGCCAAACTCCGCTTTAGTGATCTGACCAAATCCCACCCATGGTTGACCACAGGGCAATAAACCCCATAATATATGCTTGCTCTCACAGATCACAGGTCGCCATGGTGTCAGGCATTCCGGAAGAAGCCACCCAGTCAAGGGAGGGTGGCCCCTGTTGAGAGCCCAGCCCTGAGGTTGGAATTAGAAACTCCGATACCTTCTCTCCGGGCATCGAAAGGAAGCACCTGCTGGACGAGATGGGAGTGGGGTGAAATGTGCTCCCTCTCTCCAAGGTCTCCCCAGTGGGGCGAGAGAACGAAATTCAAGAACTGGCTGGGACAGTGAAAGAAGGAGAACTAGAGACAGCAGAGTCCAAGCTCTGGTCCCCGGGTGCCCGCTATTCTGAGCCTTCTCCCTCAATTAAGCTGCTCTTTCCTGTTCTAAGTCAAATTCAGATCTTGCCTTAGAGAATGTGTTTACGGAAGCTTCTCTGTCTTTCCTAGTGAAGAGAAAGGAGTTTAGAAGAATCTGTAGGAGAAACCACGTGTATTTATATAGCTGGATAGCCCCCGTTTCAAAGCTAGAGGATTCCAGTCCCCTCTGGGAATTGAAATGGAGGAGAAAAGAAGAGAGAGGGGAAGACGCCCCATCACTCAGTAGCTTTCTGACCGTAGAAATCCCCTAAGGCGCTAGTGACCACCTGACTTTTGCAAGCTGCTCAGTCTGTCTCGCGAGCTGTTCCTTCTGGCGAGTGCGCATTCCTCAAAATCATCAGCGTCTGTAAATAAACGGTTGTAAATAAACGGCTTAGAGCCTCAGTGACCAACCAACCCTGAAAGTTAGCAGTGACTAAAACGAAGGGACTTTAGAAGTAAGGGTCTACTCGTGCTGGTTGCCAGTCCTTTTCCAAATGCCTGTGACACGTACTGAAGGAATCTGATCCCACGAGCCTATAAAGGGCAGGCAGGAAGAACTGCATAGTAGAAGATGCTGAATAGAGTTCTTTATGTACTTCTTACCCATCTATGTGTTTCTATCTCAATCAATGACATTCCAGGCTATAGAACTTGGAATTCCATTTCTGATAGATATAATGTATAATCTTGGTAGACTTTACTTCCCGGGTGAAGTGGGGCAGGTAGGTCACAAAGGAAGTACTAGTAATTATTAACTTCAAATATACTGGAAAATGCTTTGTCTGTGATTTCATCCCCTTAGGAAACTCCATGTGAGGAACTTCATTTATCAAAGGAAATCAGCAACTGCTGTAGCATTGGAGTAGCCTGCGGACAGCATAGGGTACTGAGAGTTTAGGTGCCAGTAAGTGTCAAAGGCAATGCTTGAACACAGGGTTTTTGACTCTCAGGCCAGCTTACTATCCACTACACTACACCGGTTTTCTGTGGAAATACATACCATATATCACAGCAGCCCCTCCACCATTGCAAAAATTGGTTAGTGCTTATATTCATATTTCAAATATATTTTTTATTTATGTCCCTGGATTAAGAACCCCCTTTTTACTATTAAAAGGAAAGCTACACTAGGTA